ATCAGAACATGCATTTTCAGCAGCAGCCTATATAGGAAACAAGCTAAGAAGTAGACTGGGAGATGAAACATTGGACGTTCTATTATTCCTGAGATCGTATTTTCAAAATAAATAGAACATACATTTCTTTGTAAATTATAATAATATTTTTTTGCTATATAAAATAATTAAAATTAAATTAAGATAAAATGTTTGCATTATTCTATCCCGGGATAATCTCGGGATCCCGAGATCAATAACTAAATATCCCGAAATTCCGGGATCGTAAAATAGGGCCGGGATTATAATCTTTAACTATAACGTTTCTAGTGGAAAGGACACATGTGCAGTAAAAACCAGTTTTCGACCAAATGACTGGGAACTCTTATTCTGAATAGATGAATAGATAGACTATTGACTTACAGGTTTAATTGATTGAACAATAACTTCTAAAAAAAAAAAAAAATTGGTAAGTATATTTCACTTCACCACTGTATTGGTTTATATATTCATGCTAATTTTGAAATTATTTTGCATATGCAGTGTAAGTTTAACATTATAGTCATATGATAGTATTTTATTGACGTATCAAATTTGTATAGATTTAAAGTGGTCAATAATAAAATATTTTATTCTTTATTTGACGTAACGAATTCATGTAAATATATTTACAAAAAATAAATATATTACATAGTATGGATAAACATATGAAAATTATGGGACATAGATGAACATGTATAGTCTGAATAAGCAGTTCAAACAAGAAGCTTGTTTTTATAATACAAATACGTGTGATGCCAATTGCAAATATTGTATGTGAAATACGAAAATACATGTATTTTTTATGAAATTGTAGACAGTGTTAGAACCTAAAAAACCATATGAAATGAACACGGTTTATTAATGTAGTACGCACGTTAATTATAATATCCTTATAGAAATCGATGGTCAAATTACTACTATGTTGTTCGTTTATCCATTTGAGATTTTTTTTTTAACATCTTATTCAAGCAATTTATGGATTGTACAAAATTATTAAATGCTCCATATTACTAAACACACAATAGTTAACTATTAAATATAAAACAATAATGTACAATCCCTGTGTTAACAATCCAATCCCTATGTATATGATAACTTATAATAGTTACCATCAGATATTGAAGTTTTTCTAATATGATATACTAATTATATATTAGTTTTTAATAGGTACTATAGTCTTCAAAAATTATACTTGTTAAAAATTGTATGATTTATTTTGATTATTATCCGACGAATAAACATTTTAAATATATTTCATTCGATCGTATTATTTATACACTTCAAAACGTTCTATTGTTTGATTTTCTGTGTCAATCCTTAAATACGAATATCAACACTGACAACGACAACAGTCACCTATCATAAACGTTTTAGTCAATATTTAGTATTTGAATTGTCGCACAGACGTCATTTAAAAGGTTGTCATTATATTAATAAGATATACATATATTACCTATTTTAAACAAAATGATAATTTAAAAATAAAATACACATGATCTTCTATAAAACGTATTAATTTAAAATTGCACTTTTATTATGAATTTAAACAATGCTTTTTACTGTGGAAAATATATTTTAGTAACATTCTACATAATCGGTTTTTTATTGTTTTTTTTTTTTTTTGTGAAAATTTAAATTTTTTTAAACACAAAAACAATTTTCCATAATTATTGACAGTCGTTTTAAAATATCTATTACTTAAAATATACGGTTGACAAAAAGTACAATATGTACACATGTTATGTGATTACTAAATTTGCTTTTCAAAATATTTTGAGCAATAAAATGTTTTGACATAACATTATGTATCGAACATCTGTTGTTCTTTGTACAATGTGTAAAATAAATCATTTACTTGTGATTCAGACTTTTGTTTAAATGATTACTCAAATAAAAATCATATTATCTATAAATATCAACGTTTACTAACATTTTTGTCTTCAAAAATGATAATATCCTATAATAATATGTTATTATTATTAAAATTAATTAGTCTTTTAAGACACCAATAGAAATTAATAGATCTTAAATATAATGTTTGACTTTAATAAATGTCATTAAATATCACTTCTCTGGAAACTTTAAATTCTATCCCTCCATAAGAAGTATCTTTCACAGATTGGATGTCACGTGTATAAAAAGCTATAGGTTAGACACACACAGTATTATATAGAACATATCTAGTTATTTCCATACAATTTGACATTTTATACTCTTTTTTCTTTTTTTCTTTTTTTTTTTTTTTGATATTCTGAGAATAAACTTCCTATTTATTAATGTTTTGATTTTTCATTTCATTTCTTACCATAAAAATATGAATTTCCTATAAACGAAGTTTATAGTAAATTCACGAAAATAAAGTTAACTAAGTATCTTCCTTGGATTTTTTACTTTTTTTAGATTTATTACTTGATCTATTTCAGTTAAATGTAAAAAAAAAAAAATAATTTTTATATTTTCCACGATTCATATTTAGATTTGGGGGGTCTATAATGCTCGAATGGACTGCAAATCGTTAGCACGTTTTCAAAAATGTTTTTTTGAAAACAGACAATCCATTCGCGCAGAACGAAATTTATATATTTTTTAATTAATTATCGGTCAGTAAAAACAATGTGATAAATTATAAATGAAAAAAATCTGTACACAAGGAAGAATACTTATAAGATATATGGAATAAATACAAAACAAAACCGTTAAAGTTATATAAAAAATATTGAAAATAAATTCCATTGTAGAAATTTAATTTTAAAAATTGTTTAATGTAATTTAATAATTATAATTATAGCAATACTTCATTAAAACTTGATAGTATTTTATAGACATTTATAATCCATGGATAATTGAATGACCAGTACTAGGTACGAAGTACCTACCGAATTTCTGTGTGTGAAAACCGTAGACATAACATTAATTATATACATTATGTCTATAGCACAAAAAAGTTTTCTTTTTTGGGGATTTTCGTCAAAGTTAGTTAAAATATATTTGCGCAATCGTGAGTTGTATTTTTTTCGCGCAAACAATTTGTGAATAAGGTATATAAACGAATTGTAACTCCTCAATGAGTCTACGTAAATATGTTGTTGTATAAAGAAAATAGATTAATAACGTGGTACACTGGCGGAACCCAAATTACGACTAAGAGTATTCGGAGGGGGTCCTATCAGAAATAATTCCTATTAAATAAAAATAAAACATAGTCGTAAAACTATGTGAAATACTTTTATTTACATATTATAAATAATATCACAAATCGTTTACAATATTTATTTGATACACTGTTGATCAATAAAACAATATTATGAGCTACGTGAGGGTTGATCGTTGCTGTAGTCGAGGGAAAACCGAGACCTATGGGTCAATTCTTCAATGCCGGACACCGGTCTCTATTGTATGTCATAATTACTAACGCTAAATAATATAACTCGTTTTTCTTGTTCTATTACATCAAATAAAATACGAAACCGCATGCAAAACATATCCTAACAATGAGATTTATTATCAACAACGAATAAAGCAGAAAAAAAATAGGAGTGATCGCATCGTTCTCGGAAAAATCATCCCCATATAATATTATTGTTACACTTGATTTTTGTTTATACACTATACATCTCGTATTGCAAGTGGCGAAGTTTGTCGACAAAAACCCGCTGTGTAGGGGTGGATCCACAGTTGGAGAACTGTGGGTCGGGCTAATTTAAGAGACTTCTTATTAGACCTGACACTGAATTATAAATGTATACCTTGTAAAAAAAAAAAAAACAATATGATGATATATAATAAGTGTAATTGTTCATAATTACAGTTAAAACCATTAACATTTATTTTATTTTATGTATGATTTCGTCTTACATGGGGTCCGGCATAGACATTTTTTACTTTACTACACAATTAAACCAATGGCGTGTTTTTCTCTAGTCTAGTATTAATTTTAACTCATAGTCGGCACACTAGAAAATATTAGAAGTCTACAAGAGGCCGATTTCGTCGACGAATTTCAACCATGGGTTAACTGATCTCTTGAACCTCCTTAGATTCGTTCCTGCTGTTGTGTAACCAATGACCGATTTTGAAGGAACGCACGTGGGTTTTCGTGGTTTTCTTCTCCAACAATACCGTGGTGATCATCACAGACGAAATTCGAAATTTACCGATTATACGCCAACTATGCGTCGAGAAAACGACCGGAATAGTATCGATATAACGAATTGGTTAAGTATCTGATATAGATCACCGTGCATCAGCACACGCAAACAGTAGTTATGCATTGATAATCGTATAATGTAGTTATTCGTGTAAATCAACGATAACCGACGACCTCGTTTTTTTTTTTTTTTTACTTAGAAACAGCTGGGGAAAAAACACACTAAAACCAACTAGTCAAATAGTGTACAAAAATCAAATCAATCGACGCCCGTAATGTAACAATACACAACAAGTATAATCGAGATGGACCAACTAGTTAAGCAATCAATGGTTTATCGACGACTATTTGTTGTTATTATAACGTTTACGGGTGTTCAACACACGGTAAACACTACCCGTCACGTTTTGAACCGCGTGCGCGTTTATCTCGAAATGATGTTGATCAACAACAAAACGTTGTAGTCGGTTAGGTTACGAAACGCGTTAAACGCGCGATAAAATATTCAATACGCAAAAGTGTTACGGTCACGAACGTTAGGGTAAACGATCCGTCTCGAGAGGCTCAGTCGGACGTGGCGAACGGGCCGAGAACGTGGTGCGCTTGCAGGTGCGGGTCCGGTTCCAGTCGCACGCGTCCGAACGGATCGGGGAAAGTGTTCGGGAAATTCGCTAGGCGATCGGGTTCGTCCGCACTCGGTATCCGTAGTGCGGACGACATTTCACCCGGCTGCACTGTTCGTTTTTATTGTTCATAAAAAACACTTATTATTCGTGACTACCGACGAACACGTTCAGCGATTGCGTTTACTCGAATTTAACACGTGTTTCAGGGTCGAAATATTGCGGCGTGGCCGAGCGGGCTGCCAGACCGATAGTCGCGATAGGAGGAACAAGAGGGCACGGCGCGGTGTCCGCGATGACTCGTCCACGTCAACGGTCAAAGGTCACGGCGATAACGGTGCGCGATAGACAACGTCATCGACATCTCGATCATCTCGGCGAGATCATCACCGCCGTCGGCATCGGCAGCATCAGCAGTGCGCGGTCGGCATCGTACCAGTCGCGTGCGGGTGACTCGGCGTAACGCGGATACGATACGGAACGTTCGGCCGAAAACGGTGCGTGTAAACTTTTCGCGGTGGGCAGTCGACCGGTTATGTTTATAAATATGTAAATATAAAATATTTACATAGCGTCGTGACAGTAATAACGATAATAACCACCGGTTGTAACGGCCGTGGCGGCGGCCCGTACGACAGCAGCGGCTGTCTGGCGGACGGAACGGAAGCGGGGAGGAAAAAAAAAAACAAGTGCGAACAATTGTTCAAACGCCGCGGGAACGGATCGCGGACACGCGGCGGGAGACCGCGGCAAAGGGTGTTTGGCGCGTGCGACGCGGCCGCGGTGACGCCGCCGGTTTGTTAGCGACGCGCAGCAGGTCCGATGCGTTCGGCGCCGCCGTCCAGCACCTGTGCCGCCCGTGTCAGCAGCGCGTCGTGTTCGCGTCACGCCCGTCGCCGACGACGACGCCGTAACTCGTCATTGCCACCATGAAGCTCCGCGACCGCGTGGTCATCGGCTTCTGCCTATCGTTGGTCCTGGTCACCGTGCTGTTCGTAGTCGACCTGCAGAACGAAAACGATCGCCGGCTGCGGGCGGCCGTGGACGTGGACGCGGACGCGCCGCTCGGCGTCGGGCTGCACGGCCGTTCGCGCCCCGACGTGCCCAACGTCTGGGACGCGGCCGAATCGCCCACGCTGACGCCCGCGTTCGAGTACCGATCGCGGCCGCAACCACCGCCGCCGCGGCGGCCGTCCGCTCCGCAACCGTACGTGCCCGCGTCCAACGACTACTACCGCACGCCCGTGGCCGACCCGTACGCCGACGACCGGTTCGACGATCTCACAGAACTGCTGTCCGTGCCGCAGTTCGTGCCGCACCACGGTAAAGTGGTCGACTGGACCGTGGTCACGGACGTCATCGTGGACGACACGTCCGTCGACGGTACCATCAGCAACGAGTACATCGCCGAGTACTTGGAAAGTGGTTCGCGGTAAGTCGCACGCTGTTATTACAATATAATAAATATGCGCGGGGTGGTGGCCCCGTAAAATATTTCACGAGGCTGCTCGTGTTGAACTGTGTTGATGATTTTTCGAGCCGTTTTATACGAAAACAAAAACGTTTCATTTGCGGCGCGACGAGCGTCAACACCTTTGTAACCGTCAACACCGTCGATCGGGCTCGGATCGGTACATTTACTATGAATGGGTTGCGAAGGGGTTGCATTTTATTTTTAACTAGTGGATCCGGACACTAAATAGCAATTTAGACACTAGATAGCGGAATAACGAAAACTATCGTATTGTCACGCTATCGTCACGCTGTTCATGGGTACACGAGATTATGTGTACTACGATTTAGGCGACGATGATCTATCGTCCAAATTTGGCGTAAAAATTAAAAGAAAAATTACACTTGACCACCGAATTCATGCACACGGTTGTCACGAAGCATAATATCCCCGTCCGGCCCACAGGGTTTTGTCGATCCACGTGGTCTCAGCGTTCAACCGGTTCGGTATATTATTTCTCTTCACTCGAATCATCGTAATCGTACACTACGCAGCGCATAGTTCTTCCCGGAACGCAAGTCACGCGTAAATAACATAATCTTTCTCGCGAAAACCTATTCTGTACATGCTCTCGATTCGTTCAAAATAATCATAATATGTGTGGTCGATGTCAATGCAGACTTAGACATATTTTAAATGCCTCAAAGATTACATTTAAATTAATTTAGTTTTAGAAGAATTCCACGTGCACAATGAAATAAAGTACAATCATTTTAATACTATTTGAAATATACAAATCGATTTTAAAAATAATGGCTTGAACCAATATTAAATAGTTATAATAATTATTAGATAATAATAAATTATAATAACCAAAGTATTTATATTACTTAACATATCTATGTCTAATAAGAACTAATTTTAAATAATCTCTCCTATTTTAATAAATTATCTCTATGTTGGACGATCAATATTCTCAATGTATTTCTTCCTTTATTTTTTCATATTCAGTCGAGATTTTATTGACTTTGTGTATACCTGATGATGAATTTTTAATTCGAAACCGATTGTATAGGTACATTAAAAATATAACACTCCATGCATTTATTTATTTACTTATGTATATAAATTATTTATTTATATATTAAAATCAAATCGTTTGTCAAATCCCTCGATTAAAACTAACATAACTCGGCATGCGTTATTTTTAACTCACATGCTTATTCTTACGATATCGTTGTTTACCTCTTTTTCCCTATTTTACACATTACTATAATTTATTTATATGAAAATAAAGTAGATAATTTATCTTGTTTGGTTTGATTTGCTTAAAATATATATATTTGTAATTTCGGTGAATTGCATCCCATAAATAAAATGTTAATATACAGCTAGGTGAATTGTGGTCCGGGTATTTTTTTTTCAAGGAGGTGAATTGCGTCTCCTCTAATCGTTCTAAGCTATTGTTTATTACAAAAGCACTGAAATAGCATCTTTATTTTTATATATAATATAATAATAAATTATTGATCAGATTAGAATACGTCAGAGCCGTTTTGTTTAAAATATATAATACACTTTTATCAATATAGTTTTTTTTTTTTATATAAATGATTGACGAATAATAGAGTAATTATAATATACATATATATAATTATATTGCAATTCACCTAACTCCAATTTTCGATAAAACAATAAAAAAAATTCGTCGTCATTAATTTTATGTTTATTACATAATACGGGGGTACCTGCTGACGTGTCTCTCGTCAACAGATATTAAGTACTCGTATCCACTGAATGACAATTGTATAGTTTTTTTTACATAATATCGTATAGCGGTGCACGTGAAACAAATTTATATTCTAAATGTATTTTTAATAGCCGATTAAACTCCGATCGAGTAAGCAAACACAGCCATGGCCCAATATGGTCCTGGAGGAACGATCCAATCCAAGAAATGATTTATAGGACACAGTAAATAAATATTACTAAATCTTTCGGGATAAATATTTTCCGCACATTTATTTTTTACATGATGTTAACAGTATTAATAACGTTCACATTTGTTCATAATTATATGTGAACACTCAGTATGCATTAATAATAATATGTGTTGTACAGTAATAAATGCGTTATTAATTGATCGAAAATATTTTTCTAATAAAAAAATGTATTGTAATATTTGTATGAAATTTTTTTCGTACCCTATGGTAAGTATGAGTTACGTGTGAAGTTATGAGTTACCTTTATTCGATGTGAAACATAAAAACTTAATATTAATAATTATAATTGTATGTAGAGACGACGACAAACTCGCACTGTAATCATTCCAGTTAAAAATTGAATCCAACCACTCGTTATAGTTTATTGCGAGACGAAACCAAAATTTATTTCTGAAACTTGATGAACACGAACTCGAATATTAGCTTACAATTTTCCAATCGAGTTGTATAACAATTAATAGTATGATAATAGTTATACATTATGTAGGTTTGTTTCAGCACGAAATTTGAGATTAGTTGCCAACTGATTCATGATTGATTTACGGCGCGTGCGCTACCGTGGATTGATCATGGATATTGGACTTCGACCACGTTTTTGATTGCTCACAATTTTTAAAAAAAGATAGTAAGATAAAAAATTAAATAGCGCTTTGAAATAACTTTTATTGTGATTTAAAAAAAAAAAAAAATTGTTAACATAAATTATAATTATATTCAATTTCAATATTAATTAATATAGTAAATATAATTTTACCTGTGGTCTGTTTTTACTATTAATTGCATTAAAAATGAGCAATATTGATGATTCGAATGACTTTCTTGCATTTAGTTCTTCGTCTGACGGCGCTTTAGAATTCATTATTATATCTAAAATAAAAAAAAAAGGTTTTATAGTCAAAAGTTGTTAACAAACCTGTTGAGGATCTGTTATAATAGTGATTAAATTACTTTTATTTGGTTCGGAAGAAACTGTACCACCAAAGTGAGTCATATTTATTTAAAAAAGATATGTATAGTCAGTTTAGTGTTTTAATACAGCTTAGGTACTTCTTTTGGTTATGTTTAAAACGGTTATTCTTACTTATTCAAACCCTCAGTAAATGGGTTAATAATCGCTTTTGTAATAATTACAATTAAAATCAGGTCTGGATTAATCTAAATGCAAAAGGAGCATTTGGACAAATGTATTGGTGTGGCATAAAATATCCCTAAAAAAAAAAAAAATGTGTTAAGTACAATAATTATTTAAGCAAAAGTTTTTCGATTATGATTAGAAAAAAAAAATATGTAGGTTTAATACCTATAAAGTGTGCAACTTTTGAATCTGACGTCATTTTATATGCTTTGTTGGTAGACCTGTTATTGTCATTTATAGTATTTTCTATGACTTCGATTTGATTTTCAATTGTTGTTTTTTTAATTGTTGAATTATATGATTTAGATATAAAACAGATTTTATAGAAATGTGGTACAGTTCAAAACTATTGTTCAAAATTTTCCGTCAAAAGCTAAAACTTCTTCATCATTACTGAGAACACTGAAAACATTGTCTTTAGAGACATCGTTTCCTAATATCGAAATAATTTTAAGAATTATTTGTGTTTTAATTTTCTTTCATCATTAATATAAGAAACAATTTCCAATTTATCAGTTTTATGTATAGAATCTGATTTGGTCGAGAAAATTAAGTTGTAAGAACTGATACAAAAATTTGCAACTATTAAATCTAGAAAAAAATATATTTAAAGAAAAATAAAGATTTTTAATTTTTTAATTAGCATTTGTATTAAAAACCATTTAAAGTATTACGTATTTTTGAACCAATTTATTAATATTATAATTGTATTTTGTGACTGTTTTCTATTCATTTAAAGAAATTCTTTGGAAAACTATTCTGTGACATTAAACATATAGTTATACTTTTTAGTGTAAGTAGATTAATTATTATATATGGAATATTTTATAATAGTATTTTATTTTCTAATTTATGTGTAGAAATCAGGTGTTTTATATTTTTTCTCACTAAAACCTTATTTATTTTGTGAGGGAGGGGGCAAAAATTATTTGCTCCGGGATGCCATCGACTCTTAATCCGGCAATGATTACAATTACACAATTACAACTACAATTATTACAGTAATTGTTGTAGAAATTGTAAAAAATTACTTGTAATAAAAATGCAGACACAAACAATCGATAAAATTATTATTGTACTGTTATAACATAATTAGTGATTTTTGAACGGAAGATATTAAGAAGAATCTATGGACCGAAAAAAAACAGTGAGGGAGAATATAAGATGAGGACAAACCAAAAAATTAAAGATCTGTTTGGAGAAGTGACCAACAATGGTGTGTTAAAAAGTAGTAGATTGCGATGAGCTGCACAAGTGTAGAGATCAGAGAGAATGATTGAACAAGTTACAGAATGGAAACTAAACACAAAAATACTTAGAGGACGTCCCATATAAAGATGGAAGGATAAAGTAGACAAGAACTTAGAGAAGATCTTGGAATTGAGAACGGAGTTGAACTGGCCAAGGAAAGAGATCAGTGGAGCCAAATGGTTGTTGCGGCAATGGGCCTAAATGGCATGTAAAACTTCATACATACATACATTGATAACATAAATAATAAATGCATGATAACAGTGTCTCGGACTCCCAGTCCGAATCCACGGATCGTTTCGACTGTCAATCATAAAATCATAAGATTGGTCTAATGACGTGTTGAAACAACCATCTGTCGGTTTGAGTTTGCGTTTCAAGCGAGTAGGAACGGAATAGTACTACCTATTGCGCATGCTCGCGCTAGTTCATTGACAGTTTGACCGCGAGTTGGAACAAACCTAATATGTATTATTGACCGTATGGCGATTCTGTTAGTGACCAATGAAGTTGCAGGTGACATTGTATTGTGATACGTAACAAATAGCTATTGTTTTTGTACACCGATCAAAATATAAAATTAAAATGAA